TTTTTTTTTCCCTGAAATAACCACCTTATTTTACTGTGTTCTGCATATAAAATCTTAGATTCCTGCCAAGAACCATCTCTCATAACTTCTGTCTCACCTCTAAATTCATTTCTTTAACTATAATTTCTTCCAATAATGGAAATTTATATTTGAGACATAAATTACAAATCCCACAAATTCCGTGGCTTTGCCGAGTTTTCTCCCGGGCTCTGGGCGCCGTACCAAGTAACGGACAACCAGAGACTCAAAACCCCGTTGGGTGTAGCGACGATCTCAATTTAAGTTAGTAACAAAGAGAAATTCCAATCTTTTGTACCTTGAGGCCCCAATATTTTTTACTTGGCAACAAAAAGAAAATCTTACAACTTGATAGACAAAAACAACAGACTTGGGAACGAAGGAGGCGGCATCCTGACACCCACCGGGGGCGAGGAACAGTCCCGAACGTGGAACCTGCTAGACGGAGCCCTCGGCGGCACGGGGCACGCCCGGCAGAACCCGGACGCCAGGTCAGAGCGTGCCGCACACGGCGGGACTTGTCGCCGGGCGTGGAACGGGCAAACAGGACCCCGATTTCAGCAGAAAGAAGCCCCACGTGGGGCGCTGGGCTCAGCCTATGCAGCGATTGTCACCAGTGACCACCTAGCAATCACCTAGAGAATCGAACCTGCGCGTAACAAACATCCCCACCTGTCGTCCGCGACAACACTCGTTTCCGGACACCCCTGTCCCAGGAGGACGCCGGGCACTCACCGGTCGATGAAATAGCCGATGACAGGGCTCTCGGTCGTCGTGTTGGGAGGCTTCCAGGTCACGATGACGTAGTCTCGGTTGGCGTCGTGGCACTGCAGGTCCATGGGTGCTCCGGGGGCGCCGGTGACCAGAGGGTCCGCGTCTTGGGTCGGGGGAGAAAAGAGACACGTTTGCGGCCACTTAAAGGTGGGGACCCTCCAAAGCCTGCCCGTAGCTCCTCCAACCCAAACCCCGTCCGCCTGATGATCCACTGTCTAATCCCATGTTCCAATGACTGGAATGTTCTTTGACTCCGGTGACAAGACTGGTGACAAGAAATGTAAATATATATATGAGTTTAAAAAAACCTCAAAACAGGATGGGTATTTGCATACACAAAGAGTGCAATGCGCACCACCCAAAGGATGGACGTATTTGAAACTTGGACTTAGGGGGGGAGGGGGGAGCAAGGGCAACATACGTAACCTAAACATCTGTACCCCCATAATATGCTGAAATAAAAAAAAAAAAGAAAAAAAAAAAAAAAAACCTCAAAACATTGAATCCTCTATAAAACACTCAAGTCTACGATTTCCCATCAGTGGGTCCCAAATTATAGTTCACCTTCTCTTGGTTACATTTGTGGCATGATGTAACTTTGTCAAAAATTCACTGATTAAACAATATTAATAATAATTTGGCCTTTTTAATGCCTGAGAAATATTACTTAGACTCTCTTATATTTCAAATCCCTAGAAAATTCAGTGAGTTAAATTTTTTTTTCTGCAAGGTGTGAGCAAACGTTTGGGTCAATACTCTATGTGTTCATTTCACAGCCTATTAACGATCGTAACGCAGTTAGGTTTTGTTTTCAAGTTTTAATGACAGCTGTGCTGAAGACCAACAAAGTCCCTTAGCAAGTTAATACGCTGAGCATTTAAAACATTGAGTCCCAGAGAATTACGTTAAATACATATTTATACACATACACACAACCATATGCCTATAGATACACACGTATGTATAAAATGCCTAGCGCTGCCTGGTGGTGTAGCATGCATTTTGCTTTTCTTTTCATAAAAGGGGATTGATGGAAACTTCTCCATGGGTCTGTTGTGAGGATTAAAGACACGTAGGACTCTGACTGAGCATGTCGCCTAAAGCACTCAGGAGTTACTGGCTGCCCTTGGCATGAAGGTCTTACATGCAAATGTAATTGGAGTTGGCGGTGACAGTAACGGGAGCAGGTGTGGTCATCGTGGTCTCTCCCTCCCAGCCAAAGCCCGGTGGGAATGGGGCCCTCACGGGAGGCACAAGCAGCCCCCTGACTGGCGCTCTGTGCCGGACCCTCTCACCCCTGGGCTCCATTCCGTCGAGAATGAGTAAATCTGGTGCATTCACTCTCAGGACTCTCTTTGTAAACGCTAATGGCTTCATGAGTGATTAGAAAGCAATGATGATTCTGCTCTACTCCAGATCCCGTCTAATTGGTTCATCCGCTCACGGGCCGGACGCGCCAGGTGGGCTTGTGCCCTGGGGAGTGTCTCCCTCGCGCCAGGCAGCCCCCAAGGAGCAGAGACGTCTCCAAACCGCCTTGCTGCCTCCTGCCCGACACCCTCTGCCCGCCACGCCCCCGCCCCCCCCGCCAGCCGCACCTCTCACGAACAGGAAGGCGCTGTGCTCGCTGACGCCGCCTCGCGACACGATCCTCAGCGTGTACAGCCCCTCGTCGTCCTTGTTCAGGTGGCTGAAGGACAGGGAAGCCTGACCCTCCCCAAAGAACATCTTGGTCCACTTGGACTCTTTCACCAGCACGTCTGAAAGAGCGTCGGAATTGAAGGTTGTCGTCAGAAATCGTCCAGGAATCAAAGAGGACCCGAGGGGCACTCGTGCAGTCTGGCAGGGAGACGGGGAGGGACAAGCCTGACTCTGTAGCAGCCTGACAGCCGTGTCACACGGGAAGAGCACGCACGTGAAGCACCAACAGAGAAAAAGGAATCCGCAGCACGGAACGGAAGCTTCTGCTCCAAGAGCGTAAAGACAGGGCGTGTTGCAAAATGGTCACCGGCTCTGTCCTCTGGTGCGCTGGGTCTACCTGTGTCCCCCGCCCTGGCTCTTCTCAGTGGGACACCTGCTGTCCAAACCCTCTTCCTGGTCGACCCGCCCACAGCATCTACCGCAGGAGGTTTCCTTGGAAGCCAGGGTTACAGGGAGTCAGGGCTCCCAAGGCACCCACCCCAGGGAAGGTCCTCAGCCACCGCAACTTAGAAATAAATAACAAAGCTACCAACAAACCAACGCATCAAAAGGCAATGAAATTAAAAAGGCAAATTGCAAAAGAAGAAATGCAAATGATGAATAGGCTCGGGAAAAAATATTCAGCCTTGGAAATCAAGCAGACACGAAATAATGAGAAATTATTTTCCGTCTACTAAATTTGGTACAGATGAAGAAAAGGCAACGTCGGCAGCCAGAAAGAGCAGAAAGTTATGTCCCCCTTCCAGGGACAGGGTGGTTACACAGGGCTAAAGGGAGGAAGCTGGTCAAAAACCCCAAAGATGAACCAAAATTCTAAGAATTTGTCCCAAGGTAATAAATAGAAGTGCACGATGAGGATTTCATTCCAGAATTTATAACAGAAAAAGTGTAACCAACTGAAGTGTTAAGTGAGGGCAAGTGTAGCATATTCCTGTAACGGAACACGACACCCAACAGCCGATGGTGTCAAAGAATAATTGCCACAAAAACATGGATACAGTATATTGTTAGATGAAAAAAAAAAAGGTTGAAAAGGAAAAAAAGGCCCCCAATTTAACAAAAAAGCCTAAGTACGGATGCATCAGACGTACGTCGTACAACAACGTGATCATAGCAATTTGTGATTAGAGAAATGATAATTTGGGGGACTTTTTGCAATAAACATATACTAAATTCGTTATAAGAAAAAAGAACTATTTTTAATTATCAAACATCAGTCTGTATCAAACTTGACTGGCAAGTTCAGGAACACTCCGGCCCACAGTGTGCAGAGCATGACTTTGTTCCGTGCTCTTACAAGGCCAAAGTCCGTGTGAATAACTATGGCACATGCATAATAAAAATAAATATTTTAAGTTGTTTTATCCATTTTTACCTCTTTCCCACATAGCTAATGATGTCAGAGAATAACTGTGCTAATTAGGAACCAGTGCAGAGCTTGATACGTGGTAAATACAGTAAAAATACAATACACTGTAGTGTCAGGCATTACAATGCAAAATGCATTAAACATTTAATAAACGAAGAAGAAATTAGTGAGAGAGGTTGGCAAAGCAGGTGATGTAGACAGGAGAGGGAAGGCTGTCTCGTTTTCTCTTTCCATAACTGACCGGGTGTACCTTGTACTCTGTTATTTAAGTCCTGGGTAAAACACCTTTGCAGATATCACCACACCCACAAAACCATGTGATTATTACCAACATTGGGGGCAAAAAAACAAAAGGAGAAGCAACGGCAAGAAAAAAACCAACCGAAGGCCAAAAGGGAAAATTCCAAAGAACCCAGCATGAACCCTTAGAACACATCAAACTGCTAAAAACAAAAAGACTGAAAGAAAACAGGAAAAAAACATCCTGCCTTAAGGCAGTTCTGACTCAGCCATGGCACCTTAGCGGCTACCTCAGCGCCTCCCCCGTAGTGACGTGTGTTAATTAAATTCTAATTAGCACGAGGTCACCCTGTCTCTCAGTATGTTTCATCCTCGGCCTTAATAGGGTAACACGGGTGCAGCAGGCATGTTTCGCTCTGTAAACACACACCCCATTTCACGTTGGGTCACTTCAGGGTGCTCCCAGCCCTATGCTGGCCTCACCACTCTGGGTGTGGAGAACTTCAGAATGGACGTGAATTTCCGAAACAAGACCAGGAGCTCTGTCCGGACTGGACTGCGTCCTCCCAAAATTCCTGTGTTGAAACCCTCACCCCCGATACAATGTTATCAGGAGGTGGAGCCTTCCGGAAGTGATTAGGGTTAGATGGATGGGGTCATGAGGGTCGAGCTTCCTCTGCTGCGTGAGGACATGGCGAGCGGGCGGCCGTCTGCAAGCCGGGAGGGGAGCCCTCGCCAGGAGCTGCCAACGCTGGCACCGGATCTGGGACTCGCAGCCTCCGGAACTGTGGGAAAGGAGCCGCCCAGAGTGACCAAGGTCCTGCCGTCTGCGATGGCCTCAGGACGGCTGCTGTAGAGCTCTGACCCGTCCCAGCCGCGGCAGCAACTGCAGACTCCCGTGGGCACCGCCCACTTGCCCTGCGTGCTGGGGGCTTCGCTGCATTAACCGACTTTGCCGCGGGGCTCACCGGCGGCCTGGCGGCTTTCAGCTTGTTAATTTTAAAGAGTCAAAAATATCCCTTGAACTTTAATGTCTAAAAAAGCCATAGACAATGGTCTCCGCTGGTTGCATTTGAATAATAATGCCCATGAAGATGTGATTTTATTGCTAACGTGAAACTGGTTTTGTAACTAAAGTCCCCTCAGCTCTCGCAAGGATGTAACTGGATGTAGAAAAAGACCTGTCGGATACGTCTCTGACAATGTGAAATGTTCCGTTCACATCGGCACAGCTTGGCGAAACTGCCACAGCACCGGAATTCCAGGCACTTCCCAGTCACCAGAAGAAGTTCGCGACTGATGTCACCGTGTCTTGGGGACACTATGAAAATGTTTTTCAAATCAACTTCATTTCACACCAGAAATCTCTAGCACCACCAGGAGCCCCATCTCTCTCTCTCTCTGTCTCTCTCTCTCTGTCTCTATCTCTCTGTCTCTGTCTCTGTCTCTGTCTCTCTGCAGCTCTCTCTCACCCCTCTGTCCCCCTCATGAGCAGGAGAAGAGGCCCTGGCACAACTATTCTGCTCCAACAGAAGACCAAAGCTCTCAGCACCCTGCAAACCTGACCATTCCCTCCTCATCCCCCGCGTACGAGGTCAAAGGTGTTTCTCTGTGCTGGGACACGATTCCGTCTCTGTCTCCCTCCGTGCTTTGGCACACAGGAGTTCTCCCTCCTCCTCGCCGGCGGAGAGCTTCTCACCTCTCAGCAACTTTCCCACATAATGTTCTCCCTCCTCACCCCAAACCCGCCTCCCGGCTGGACTCCGGCAGACACGCGGCCAGCACCGCGCATCTGGCAAAGGATCACGGCTTGAGAAGGACGTTGCTGTACACCTGTGTGCATTTTCCCCACCGGATTGTAAATATGGGCGGGAACGGCAATGTTCTTTGTCATGTTTGCATGATGTTAGGTCCTGAATAATCTAGGCGAATACACAGCGTGAGTGGATCCATAGAAAATCAGTTCCCAGAGGAGATGAAGACCTGTACTTGGACACGCGGCGTAAACATGAAGCACAGGACCACCCGTAAGAACCAGAGCAATTCTGCGCGTGGCGGAGACGCAGGCACAGAGGACGGAGGCGACGTGGCAGCCTGGAAGACGGGACTCTGAGGCCAGACTGCAGGGCCCAGGCCCGGCCCTGCCACCCTAGAAATCCCCTCCTCTTGGCCTGCTCCCGGGAATGTGGCGTCGACCACACCCTCCGTGCCGGGGAGTCACATGAAAACTGAATTATGACACTCAAGACAGCGCCCAGCACATCGCGAGCTCTTATAAATGCTGGCTGCTGTTTTAGCCGAGGAAAACCACACACCGATACCTTGCTCGTCTCTTTGATCCCGCAAAGACCCTCTCTGTGGAGCCGTAAAACCCCCATCGACCCGTCCACACTCGGTCCCTCCCCGTTAACCTCCCCAGGATCCTCCCGGCTAAAGCTCAAGGTCGACGTGGGGTTTCGGGTCCTCCCCCGCCCCCGGGCTCGCTTGGCAGCCGAGCTAACTCGGTGGTGGATTCCAAAGCCAAGCGGGACTCGGTTTCCAGGACGTTTCTGCCCAGAGGCTGGGCGTGGCCGTGCGCCCAGCGCCACTCACCGTCCCGGTACCACTCGGCCCGCGGCTGCACCCTCTTCAGCTCGGGCGTCACCAGCAGCGTGCACTTGAGGGTGACTGTCTCGCCTTCTCTTCTGAAGGTGACCCCGAATTTCTCCAAAAACTGAACGTCAAAGTGCATGTACGGTATCATCGAGGAGAAGGGCACTGCGCAGAGAGCCGGACACCGTTAGCGCCAAGGGCGCGTCTCAGGCTTCCCAGCCTCCTGCCCTCCTACCCACAGCCCATCGGGGTCCTGGACACAAAACTCACACTGGGCAGGCTCCACCCCCCCCCCCCGTTCTGGTCGGTTCTTCACTCCCCAGCATTGGCTAAGCGTCCCTTTACCATAAAACCAAATCTTCTACAGGAATACACGGTCACTCCTGGGGAAGTCCAGGGCAACCCTAAACCCCATTCCCAAACCGTGAACAAGCCACACTGGAAAACATCCATCACATGGTGGTCCTCGGGATGCCCTGGCGTGGGGACCCCGGCCACTCTCACCTGGCGCGGGTCACCCAGGGCCACAAAGCTAGCCGGGGGCCCGGGGTGGGCACGGCCTCCTGACAGGGCTGTGCCAGGTGCCGTGACCGCAGGGGTTGGACGGGGGACGTGGTGTGTGGGTGTGGCGGAGGGAAGTGGGGAGTTGGGCGTAGTGAGGACCCGACAGCCGGAACAGAGCAGGCGGGTGTGCTGCGCACACAAGGAGAGGAGGTTCCAAGCAGGCAGAGGCAGCCCGTGTCTGAGCCGGCTTCTGCCGCACATCCTCCGTGCGACCAAAGGTGGCCATTTGTCATAAGTGACCCGGACACTTTGGAGGGAAAAAAAGGTCCCCCAAAAACACAAAATATGGCAACGTTATGCACCCAGGTAAAAAATTTGGATTTGCTTCTTGTTTTTCCAATTCAAAACTGTGAATTCTCTCCAAGTGGTGATTTCAGCAGTGTCTAAAAATACCACCTGGCTGTACACTCGCGGGGGAACGGCCTGTCAGCACAGGGACCCCGGCCAGGAAAAACGTGGATGAGTTTTTTGAGATACAATTGTCTAAAAAGATTTGACCCTCAGAAAATAATCTTCAAGGTCACACGCTACATCCGTCCCTGCACGTTTTTCTGCACGGAGAGCAAACCACAAGGTACTCACGTCCGATGGGGAGTCTCACGGAGCGGAACGGCTCCTCGTCGTCCCGGAACCCTGCAAGGGGCTGGGGTGAGCGCGGCGGCGAAGAGCACAGAGCGGCTGCGGCCTCCGCCCCCCGGGGGAGCCCGCGCACTCACGTCTCACCACCACCGCGGCGTTGGTGGACACCTGGCCGTAGGAGTTGGTCGCCACCGCCGAGTACGTCGCGGTGTCGTCGAAGTCTGCCCTTTGGGGGAGAGAAAGCGAGGCGGCTGCGGGTCGGCTCCGCAAGAGCCGGTGGCCCGAAGGGAACAAAAACATTCCTCGAAAGACAATCGCGTGGCCCAGGTAATTTGCTCATGAGTGATTGGTGCGAGAACCATGCCAGCTCTATCCCTGGCACGGCTGGGCGGCGCGCGGCATTAATTACAGACGCGGGTGGACGTCTGCGCCCAGACCGTGGCTTGGCTTTGGCGTGGAGAACAAAAAGCTTCCGGCGCTTTCAAAACCCCTTCGTTTCACCCTCAAGGAGAAGCCTCTGTTCCACCCTGGTCCTATTCTTCTCCCTCTGTAGAACGTAAACGCATCACGCGATAGTCGCACACGGACACAACGACACACGTGAGTTTGTTCCTGGGCCTCAGACAAGGGTTCTTTTACCCCCCGTTTAATTGAACAATGTTCTGAGATTTCAGGGTGAAAACATTTCCATTTTCAAGCGGCGCGAGTCCCAGCCCCCTGGCCGACAGCCTCTCCGAAGGACTTCAAGCTTGTTTCTCGAGGGACTTAAGGCATTAAGGTCCGGGGGCAGCGCCACCTGACACATTAGCGCTGATTAGCTTGTCCTGCGACCAATTAGCACTTGGCGGCTGGAGGGAGGGAACCGCCAGGCAGAGGACCCCGAGCCGGGGGCTGCAGCCTCCCTCAGCTGCGCAAGATGTGGGCGCCTACGTGACCCATCCTGAATGCAGGGTCCACGGCCTGCCCGTCTGTAAAGAAGCCCGCAACCCGCACAGATGTCCAGACCACGGAGGACTCAGAGCAGGACGTGCCCAGTGGAGGGGACCGGAGACCACCCACTGGGTGGGCAGGGACCGGCAGGACTCTACTTATGTGTCCCGTCATCGAACCCCTTTACATCGGTAATGTTTTCTACTGTACAAAGGACGTAAGAACAGAGGTGCTCACCCAGATTAGAAATGAACATCTATAAGGAATGAGGCTGAGAAGATGTGTCCACGCTGGGCCACCGGGTGGGCTGCAGAAGTGTCACTCGGGGCAGAGGACAGAGGGACGGCAGGAGGGAGGCCGCGGCCACTCTAAAGGAGACCCCCTCCCCAGCCCCGTTAACATCTTGTTCCTGGGGGATTGGGCGCCTGGGAGTCCGCATCCCAGCGGGACCCCGTTCTGCCTCCCCTTCCCAAGCTGACGGAGAGAAAGCCATTAGCTAAGACAGTCTAATTCTGACCCTTACTTCATGCCGTGAGAAGTTGCAAGCAAGTGATTAGGAGGCGAAGGTTTTATTTTCTGTCTGGACAGGTTCCCGGAATAGACAGAGACAGTTTTCTCTGGTCTCGGTTTATGTGAATTTCCACGGGGCGCTTTGCAACTCGAAGTCTCAGTTCAAAGTGCCCCCAAAACAGCTCCGTGGGAGAAACTAATCTATTTTAAAGATGGGCAAACAAAAAGTTAAGTAGCAGGTGAATTTCTCGTGGGTAATTAGGGGACCCTGTGTCCCCAAAGTGTAAGGGGCGATGACATCGGATCTATAATTTAACTCAAATCAGTATTTAAATATCAAGGTCTAAAAATAAAGCAGAAGAAACGTTTAGCTCTAAAATCGTTCTGCCAGGAGTGGGAAGTAGGGGTATCGCCAATAAAAATCCAGATGGTTCTAAACACTTTTATAAAAATACGAGAACGACATAAAAATTCTTTGAAGAAACAGGACTCACACGGTGAGTCCCAAGAGAAAAACCTTACGAGTGTTATAAAATAGTGTCAATTGTAAGTTTAAATTCAAACGGTACCAACGGGTAAGTTTCCTTTTCGGCACTTTAAGAATTCAGCTGTAGCCGCCAAAGAATATTCATAGGAGTAAATGTCACTCGCCTCAGCCCTGAGCCGGCCGAGGAAGGGAAGCTGGCCGGGCCCACACCGCTGAAAACGGCAGGGATCGGATGACCCACAGCTCAGCAGTTTGGTGTGAACAGCTGAGTGAGCTATTTAACGTAATTTGTGGGTCTTTCCCATTGCTTTTTTCCTGAAGGATATTAACATTTCAACTGTTAAAAACTTCCCAATACAAATAAGCACACTGACAGAAAAGCTGGTCTTTGGAATTTTCTTTTCCCAAATTTCTGAAACATTTGCACAGTTATGCAAAATCCAAGTACAGCCAAGCAGATCTGGATTTTTGAGTCGTTGGTATTCTGTGGCATGGTAGCCAGCGTTACTTGCAGTATTAGTTCACTCTGTTCAAAGCCCATATTATTCCCAACGGAAAGTTTAAATGTTACCAGCACTAGTGTGAATAGGACGGTTTTCGTACTTGACAAAGGGAAATTGGTTTTCTTTTTAAAACAATTATTATTAGTAAAACACAGCTCAGAGACACGCGAATCGCTAACTCAAACTGACATGCTCACCCGCGAACGCTAATAGCACGCCGGCTTGGAAAACAGACATCCCTGACGCAGGCAGGTGTCCCCTTTCTAGATAATTACGGCCGATTGCCCGTTAGAATCTCCACAGATTTTGGAAGTTCAAGGAGAGAAAGTTACTCTCTGAAAAGTGCAGCAAGAGACCACAGGCATTCGGGGTGCAGCCGCAGAGTGAGAGACCCCCCCACTCTGACTCGAGGCCTACGACCCCTCCCAACCCCTAGGACACCCCTGCCACACTTGACCTGTGACCCCCCCTGCCCCCTTAGGGGACCCTGCCCCTCCTCCCCCTTAGCTCCGGGGCTCTGGGACTGTCCCCACTAGCGCCCAGTCCTAGCTCAGAGCCTGCTCCCCTTGCTAACTCCGCTGCCCTCCCCTTCCCAGCCCCCGTGGTCTCCCCTGAACTTCAGCAGGAGCCCCACGGCCCGGCCTCTGCCCCGCTTCTACCCGCAGGGCCTCCTGACGTGAGGCCACATCCTCCCATTTCCCTCAGCCCTCTGGAGTGCCCCTTCCCCCGGGAAGCCAATGTCCTCTCAGTGGCCCAAAGGGCCTCACCTCTGTCCCCTCCAGCCCCCAGCCTTGCCGCACACGTGGTCTCCCCGAGGGACAGCCTGGCCCCTATTTCAAGCCAAAGCTTTTTAAGAAAAAAAAAAAAAACAAAAACCTGAGCCTAATGATGATGCAGTCACTGCCTTGCAGTTCAGTCAAAATAAAACCAGCAAAATTATTGAATATCTCACGTATTTTTTACATTATTTTTACTAATACCCCTCATCTTTTCCTAGGAGGGATTTGATGTAACAACAGCACAGATATACACACACACTCTTACCATGCATTGTATGATACATACACGCATGTATGTGTATGCATGAAGAGAACAGGCATCTTTTTACTTGATTCTCACAGTAACTCTATTCGGCAAACGGAGAAGATAAAATGGTTACCGTCTGTCTCTCAGTAATATTTTCAGACCAGAATATTGCCACTCAGGAGGAGCTGGTGGCTGACCCAGGGTCACAGGTAAGCAGCGGGTACGGACGCAGCCCCAGCCTGCCGGCTCCTGGACGAGGGTGAGCCGTCTATACCGCGTGACGCTGGGCAGCCACGTGTGTTTGCCCAGGACCACAGAAAATGCCCTGACACTCGATGAAGAGAAAAGGTGACTCTCACAGGCCGTGACGGTTTTGCAAACAGTGAAAACCGGGTATGCAGAGAAACATAAAAAGAACAGCGGGCCCTCGCTTCTGTAAAAGAAAAAAATCCTAAAATGCGCGTGGAAAGAAGAATTGCCAGAGATACGCCAAAATACGGATGCTGGAGGTTGGACCTACGGATGACTGTCTTTCTTTTATTTACCTGTGTTTGGTACGACTTTTCGATCTGTTGTAAGAAAGGGAGCAAAGGTCGTATTTCCGTGCAGACTCTGAGCGTGGGGACTGATTCTCTAACCGGCAGCAGGCGTCAGGAAAGCTCCCGGCACTGCAGGGCAACCTTTGCTCCCGGCCGCCGCCTTTCCCTGATGTCTCCTCCCGGGCCCGCCCCAGGACAGACAGAGGGAAGCTCCTGACCCGTCAGACTGACTGGTAAATATCTCCTAACGCACGTGGCTGCCTGGACATGGTGCTACCCGGCCTCCAGCTCCCGTTTGAGTTCTTTCCGGGGTCTGCAGCGCCCATTACCGGGCCGCCGCGGGCCGCGGGGCCTACCTGTTGATCTCCAGCGTGTGCACCCCGTAGTTGCTGTCGATCCTGTACTTCCCCGGCTCAGCGGCCTGGCAGATCAGGCTGCCGTCCTTGTACCTGCACACGGAAACCAGGACGTGAGGTGGAAGGCAGATGTCTTCCTTATTTTGTCGCAGTTTCACCCCCACCTCCCATTCGTAGCCCCGGACGTGGCCCTGCCCCGTTTCTGTGCGGTCCCCTCCGGGCCACAGGCAGGAGGACGGCACGGCGGTGGCCTGAGAGCCGGAGCCACACTCGGTTTGGGTTTTTAAGAATAGAGCAGCACTTGAGTCATTCAGACTATTGGGGTGACCCTTGGCCCGGGACAGTCCTAAAGTTGGCTTGACCTTTGTTTGGAATTCAGAGGTATGATGGGGGACGGGGGGTGTTTTAGGCCCCAGACCAGCCCCTTAGGTGCCGCGGGGCCACACCAGGGGGGCTCTGTGGGGTTTGGCCACAGGGATCCCGGCTGGAGGAGGGACCCAGGGACAAGACCCCGCCGACCCCGCCTGGCCCTGAGAGTAGCGGAGTCTCAGCCTCCCAAGCCACGTCCCGGACAGCCACAGCGTGAGCCACGATGCTCCAGACCTGAGCACACAGCTATAAAGGTGTGTGCATATCAGCAGATACCGAAACGGAAGGGCCCGTGGGGCTCAAAGATTCAATTCTTCAATTATCACCAAGTTCAAGGAGCCACAGCACTGTGGTCCCACAGCTCTGAGGCCGAGGTTTCCGCTGACGGATTTTCCCATAATTAAAAGCTGACTCTTCCTTTGCGTACAGAGTCGCCAACAAGGCAAATGCAATATGCACAGGAGCCAGGCATGTGAGGACAGGTCATTTCAGGGACTGATTTTTAAATAAGAACCGTCTGAAAAATCAGTTGAACCAAGGCCGCTAAAACAGAGATGCCCGGGTGTGTCTGCAAGGAGAGTCCGCCGGGCTGTCACAGCCACGTAGCGTCTGGAGCGCAGGGCCTACAGAAAGGGTGGCTGCTGCCTTCTTCCCCGGGACCTTCCTCCAGGGAAACCCACGTGGCCTTTCTGAGCCGGGCCGGCCCTCACCATTGCACCACGGGCGTGGGGAAGCCCTGCACGGTGAAGCAGAGCTTCACGTTCATCCTCTCCCAGACGGTGTGGGACCGCAGGCGCACCAGGATCTCGGGCGCCCGGCGCATCCGCTCCAGGTACGAGGGCCGCTCCCAGGCCATCCTGTCCTCCACCTGCCGAGACGCAAGGACGGTCAGGGTGGGCTCCCGGGCAGCGCCACACGGACGGACGCACTAGGATCCGGTCCACGAGGCTCCCCTACCATCTCCAGAAGGGCGTATTTGTCCAGCTTGTCGCGGGCCTGGGACCGCGCCAGCTGCACGTTCTCCTCCAGCTGCGCCAGCTCGTCGAGGAAGCGCTGGCGCTTGGTCTCGCCGTACATGGCCTCCAGGGACTGGTACCTGCGGGAGACAAGAGGCTGCGTTAGTCTCAGGACACCGCCTGGCCCTGGGAGGGAGAATGGCCAGGCCGACCCCTCCAGGACCTCCTTAAGTGGGTGCGAGAAGACAACAGGGAAATGCTGTTTCCGCTCACTTTTATCTCTGTTTTCAGAGTCTATTTTGGTGTGTTGATACCCTACATGAAGGACCTGTCTGCGATTTTCAAATAAAACAAATACAGGAGATGCATCCTGCAACTTTCTTTTACGGATGAGAAGCACAATTAAGAAAGCGTGGAGGCTGCCGCGACGCTTTAGAGGGTGGCCGTGAGTGGCCACAGACTCAAAAGGCAGGTGCAGCTCGGCTGGAGGTTCTGACACGATGTGACAGTTTAAGAGAAGGGTGAGCCGTGTGTGTTTCCTTCTGCACAGGAGCAGATACACAGCGGGTATGTATGCATTGTTGTATACATTGTTGCTATTAAACAGATAAAACTAAGGGTTGATCTTTTCAGCTATACATTGTTGCTACTAAACAGATAAAACTAAGGGTTGATCTTTTCAGGTATACATTGTTGCTATCAAACAGATAAAACTAAGGGTTGATCTTTTCAGCTATACATTGTTG